TCTATCTATCTATCTATCTATCTATCTATCTATCTATCTATCTATCTCCTCTCCCAAAAATACTGTACATAATGAAACAGTTGCACAGTTGTCATTGCACTTAAGCTAATGCTAGCTCTTATATACTGAATTTTGTTTGAGAAAACATACAAACAAAAATTGCCTGTCTTGGGAGTTTGGAAGAATCTATTGAAAAAAACTGAAACAATTAAGCAATATCAATATGGTCAACAGTAATGAAGAGTACATGAGTTTTACTTAACTGTTAAGTGATTTACAATAAATAAAAATAGACATAGAATGAACATAAAACAGGGATAGATAATATGCCCATCACTGCAGTGTTGATTATACACAGCCTGCCTGACTATTACTATGTTTCTGATTTAAATCCAAAGCTCTATTTATGTATACATGTATACACTCTGTCCTTCAGTTCATTTTACAAACAATAACTTTATCCAGGGTAATATGAATATCTTTAAACCCAAGTACACTCATGCCTTTGACCCTTAACGCTCCTCGTGCAGATGTAATGTTGGGTTGAAAGGTTTCAGTCAGATCAATTCACCACCAGCACATTCGAGCAATGACAAACGACTTCGCTGGTAAAAATACAACTCATATGCACTTTTTTTTTTTATCACATACAGCTTAAAAAAATTTACATATATTTTTAAATATAATTATTTCTCATTAGGGTTCATTTTAACAACGCAGACAAATTGTCGTAAGTGCGGACTGGATACACAAGTGCATTTGCTTCCTTTCCAACATGGCGACAGACGGCACGTAGAATCTAGTTTTGGGGTACAACGCCACGGATTATCGTAACATTTGGACCACATGAAGGCTATTTGGCTCTCAAAAATCCGTCACTATACTGTTACAACTATTTTATTTCGCTAGCCATTTTGTTTTCACGACTAATTGGGAGATGTATCGTCGCGGAGCGGCAAAGAAGGACCACAACAACAAACCGGTGAAGAAGGATGTGAGTGACAGTGATAAATACGCCGACCTCTTGGTGTTCGGATATGCCTGCAAACTGTTTCCAGACGACGAAAGGGCGCTTTACCATGAACACGGAAAACATCTCATCCCATGGATGGGAGAGAAGAACATCATGATTGATAGGTCGGTTGAACAAACGTAGACCGAAACATTATGCTAACCATCTATCCTTACTGTTAGCCTCACAATGCAAGGGACCACTTGGGAGTTTTGTCTTGCAGAAGCTTGGGAACACCTGCAACTGGCGACGAATGTTTTATTTCCTGTCTGCAAACTTGTATTTTGGATGTTTTGAAACTGACAACAAATGGTATCTGATGTTTCTAGAATAACGTGTGAAGATGCAAACTCCTGATAGTCTTTGCTAACATTAGCCATGATGCTGAACTATCTATACGGTGATATACACTCAGTTGCCAATGTATCAGTCACACCAGCTAAAACTGCTGCGGTCTAATACAACATTGATACACATGTCGTGTACATAATGGACACCACTGCATGTTGAAACAGAAAGGAAACATTGTAACCTTCATGAAGGGTTCGTTGCAGAGCTATTTCTATCTTGCTGCAGTAGTTTGTGCTGTGTTCCTCATACACTGGCGATGGCGTCTAATTTAGAGACAAAAGATGTTTAAATGTTAGCTTCAGGTGGACTTTGCATCTTGACATGTTGGGGAGAATTTCCTCTGGAAACCCAGGCATAGGCCTACTTATTAGTAGAATACAACTAGCAGTCATGATGGAGTACAACACAGAAGAAGTGTCCTTCTCTCTGTCCTTTTTTCAAATTGAGTTTTTGCAGTAAAAGCTTAGCGTACACAAAGCGAGAGGACTTGGGTTAGTGCTCTGCAGTGCCACAGTCCACAAGGCCAGAGCAAATTCTAACCAAGACTAAAGTTACAGCAGTTAAGGTGATTCAAAATATCTCAATGCCAATGTGAAACAGTGGGGTTCGACTGACTAAAAAAGGGTTCATAGGTGCTTTTTAACTTTGCTACAAAACGATGGCTGCATGCGATGCAGTAATGTTTTATTGCCATGTCCATGCAGAGCACATCATAACTTACTCCAACCTTAAAATAGCGCATTTCCTTTTCTTTTTTTTTTGAATCACCTTGATCTGCGGTGGCCCAACTTGTGTTTCATTTGTACAGCCTTTTATATGTGTGTCTTTATCACATAACCCAGTTTTCCCCCCCAGCAAGGTAGGCTTAAGGGGTCCGGCCAAACCCCGAATGCCAACCACACAGCACCCCCGTTTCTTTGTCTTCGTGAAGAAACCGCAACTGGGAAGTGCCGTAGAGGGACGAACCCTGGAAAATGTCGTCCATTTGGGTTCTTGCGGATAGGTATTTATGTGCTCGGGTTTGTGTGATGAATGTAACTCTCTTTGCAGGTGTAGACGTAGTGATGAGTGTTACAGGGGGGAATTGAAACCCTGTAAGGTAAGAGGCGAGTTGCTTTGTTTGTTTTCTTTTTCGTTTGTTTTTCTTTTGGATGTAGGGTTGTGGGTTTGTAAGACTTGTCCACAAAGGAAATAAGCAGCAGAGAGCTTGCTAGGTATCTTAAGAGCACTATCGACAATTAAGCCCAAGGACTTAATTAGTGCATTATTATACTGTGTATTTTGATACATTTTAACTTTAAGTATTTTACGGTAGAGCGTTTTTTTTAATGTAAATCTGGGGTTTTCGTTCCCCCTCCCTCGGTAAGTAGGTCCATATTGTGTATAAAAAGCTTTGTCGACTTCCTTCTCTCTAATCCTCGTTATCATCCGACAGATACGATGGGCGCGGTCACTTACATGACCTTTCAGAGTACGACAGCGGGTCTTGGAATACATCCTACCAGCTGTCGGAGGAGGAGGCCAGGATTGAGGCGCTGTGCGATGAGGAGAGGTACCTGGCTCTGCACACCGACCTGCTGGAAGAGGAGGCCAGACAAGGTGGGCGGGGTGCTTTATCTGAAACTCAAAACACACTAGAATTAGTCATCGTTGTTTGATGAAGGCAGCTAGCTAGCAGACGATGTACTAATCCTGTTAGACTTTTCGTGGGCCCATCAATCATCCGGCGTTACTATCTTTCACCCCATCATCTCATGACGTGACGGGGCAATGAGCCACAGCAAAGTCCTGACCAAACGTAATTACATGTATATTAAACACAATGTGAGATAACTTCACTACCCACATACATGCTTTGACTCTAGAAATTCAAAGGGAGGTAAATGTAACAGAAATTAAGTAGGTCATGTCTTCTTAAAATGAACCATTTCTGTTTACTGTGTACAATATACTCCGTGTACATACACTTCTATGAACATATGTATTCATACTAATTATTTACCATTCAACGAAACTTTTTAAATTGCTGCAACATGTTGTTTCAGTGGTATATGATCGTAAATATTGGCAAGTGTTGCTTTTTTTCTTACTGGCATGATGTCATGATGTTATGCTTACAAATGGCGAGATGCTTGCAGATATTAATTCCCATTGGCTGCAGGCCGAACCTTTTGACGTCTCTGATCCTCGCAGGAAGCTCTCACTTAGGCCTAATAAGTCTGTGGTAGCCAAGGTTGCAGGTCAAGCCATAACGATTCACAAATAATGCCAACAGTGTGCAGCTGCATGGCCTCTGTCAACTCAAAAAGCTCCCAAATCTTCGTCACTCTGGTGTTTATTTCTGGCTTTTATCACTGATGTCTGTCTCCACTTTTAAAGTTAAAATGGTCACTCTCTTATCAGGCAGTCAGTGTTTGAATCAGTGTCCCCGGACATCTTTAATCTAAGTGTCCTCTATTAACACTTTAAAATAGACTAACACCAATTTGACAAACCTGTCTGTACAGATAGAATCTTACCATTTGGTGTATACTTCAATCTAGGCTTCCTACGTCATGATTTCTAGCCCCCTCCAAGGCAATCTTCAGCTTTTCATCTCCTTTAAAAAGGACTGGCTTTGACTCTGAGCTCAACAGCTGCCATTTCTATGGAAATCACTTTCAACCATTAGATACTTGCATCTCAGTCGTTTTACATTATAATGAAACAGGCTGTTTTGATGACAAAGCACCCTTCTGAAAGACAGACTTAATGACCGCAATTGAATTGATAAGCCACAGTTTCATGTGAAATATGGCATCTTATGCCCAAACTGACAGGACAGAATGAGACAGCTAATTATTTGTGTCAGACACACACACACACACACACACACTCACACTCGCTACAGAAGGTTCATCCCTCCAGGCTGGTTTGCCCTTGAAGCTGGAGGCCTGACCCCATTCACTTAGGCTATTACCCATCTGTCCACTGAAGGGACAGCAGGAGGAAAGCATTAGAAATATTGATATTTTTAGTGGCAATTTTGCCCTTGCTTCTTTTATAAGACAAAGTTTGCCATGAATTTCAATAGGAAAGGGTTAGTTTCCATGTACATTTGTCTAGCAACCGGTGAGTAACTTTCTTTCTGTCTTTCCTGTTGCTCAGCGTGCTTCTACAAGGACTAGATCATTTAGAATAGAATATTTTAGCGTTGTTATTCTTACTATATAATAACTGTCCAAACATATAAATGCCAATAATCATACAATGACTGTGTTTTGGTCACAATAGCCAAATAGCTTACTTTGGATAGTATCAACCTGTTTTATCTACAGAGACCCTGTTTTAGTACCAAGGGGTTCTCGAAGGCATCAGTGTGTAACGTGATTCAACCTCGACCTGAGCCAACTGCAATGTGTATCCTGCGAGTTTTGAAGTGCGATCTACACACTGGGATGCGGATGAGTGAAAGCAACAGTTCGGGGTCTGAGTTGGGCTAGCAACACAGTGGGTTGCCTCATTGATTTTTGGGCAAATGCAACCTTCTGCAGGACCTTCTTCCTCTGTGGCTTTTAGCAATTTCCTCCTCTGAATGAAAAGATACCGAACCAAAGGGGAAAGTGCTCCGAGTTTACCAAATCATCTGCCGATTCAAGCCAAACAAAACAAACTATAGGTACATAGTATCATACATTATTCCTAATAGGTGGATGTTATACAGTTATGCAGTGCTACATCAAAATAGAAATACGTCAAGTTCTGCAATCTGATTTAAAAAAAAAAAAATAAATAAATAAAAAAAATAAATAAATAAATAAATAAAAAAAGATGGTCAACCTTTGTTGTAAATGTTTCTTCGTTGTGTGTTGTCTTGTTTCCCTCAGAGGAGGAGTACAAACGTCTGAGTGAGGCTCTGGCTGATGAAGGCACCTACACTGCAGTGGCCTTCAAATACAGCGCCGACTACTATGATCCCTCTCAGCCCACCGTGGAGGACGACGCTAACAAGGAATGTGGTGAGAACACATCGCTCACAAACGAGTCGGATAGTTAAGTTAGGCGATCTCAGACAAGGTCGGTCATTCGTACGTACTTGCATACACAAAACCAGAAGAGCGAAACAAAGCTTTTAACTGTGGAGCTAACTCACAGAATGGTGCTTTGCAAACCAAGCTGCTTGACTTTGAATTTTTGTCTTCTGCTGTGAAGAACACAGAAGGTCTGTCTAATCCATGTTGTCTTTTTTTCATTTCATTTTTATTTCTTATTTTAAGTCTAATCCATGCGACCATCTGCAAATATGCTACCTCGAGGAGGCTGCCGAAGAACATTTTGTGCCTGCAGCGGGCGCAGTATCAAACATACTAATATTTAATTCAATATTACAGAAGGATACCATAAAACGTAACTATAACTCTTTGTAACAACCCTCTGTTGAGGCCCTGCGGTTGTTGCATAAAAAATGTTTTTTAAATTCTAACCATGAGTGGTAGGAGGTTTGACATTTAGACAGCTAATCACCTGTGAACTCCAGCGTCTGCTCTGGTTGTCATCCATTCATATCACACACACACGCACACGCACACGCTTGCAACTTTTAATATTTGATGTAGAGATAGCTGGAAGCACTTTGTCTCAGCCAGTGGCCTGACAGTTATGGAGACTAAATGCCTCTCTCTGGGGAGATTGTCGAGCCATTTCAGAGTATGACTGCATCTGCCAAAACTCCAGATGAGAGTACGATTTTGTCCTTTGGGAATAAGTCAATAAGGGTCATGTCACACTGGCCATTAACATTTGGAGCTGGTTTCAGTTGAATCCCTGCTACAGTTTGTTGTCACGTTTTCACTTTCCTTCTTTATAGTCCTTGACATTATCACAAATACAAAATCATGAAAATGTCCCCCACCACAATGCACGGTTCGGCATGAGTGTGAACCGCAGATTAATTACACAGTTTAACGTTAAAATCGCGGTGTGAAATGAAGTTTTACTGACTGATCGTTATCCGACAATATTCAGTAAAATATGCAATCAGGACATCGGCATTAATGCTTTTCTAGTTGCCGATCTCTGATAATGTTCTATTGGGCAAAGGTAAATTATAACGTTATGTGTCCAAATGTAATCTCGTAAAATGTAATGTTTGTGAGAAACTTGAAAAATACAGTTGTTTTCACAACAACATAAATAGATATTAGAGATGAATTATGACCCGTTTATCTTCTTAACACAACGATCTAAGCAGCTTATAATACATCATTACATTTGTTTTAATCAATAAAAAAACAAACTTTAATTACCTTATCATTTGAATTGTGTGTTTTTATGAAGAAAAGTGTCTTATACAGTACTATAACAAAGTAAAAGGATAACATTTAGAATTTGTCATGCTTTACACGGACTTCAGAGTGGTTTAAATGATTTTCGGGACAGTGGCAAAAACAAATAAAAAAATAGTTGGGGACCCTGTTTGAAGGGCCATTATATTATCACTAAACTGGAGTTGAGACGTGACATAAGATTGAGTGAACACGTGCAAACTGCTTGGCTTTCAGGCCCGTGACCCACCTTACACGACGTGCCAAGTGAAATCCACAGGAATTGTGGGAAGGCTGGATTATTTATTTTTTCCCATAAATGCAATGTTTTGAATTGAGGAGCTTATCTCCTTCATTGCTGCGCAAACCGCCCCCAGTGCAACATTAATAATGTTAATCTAGTTTCCAGCTGACCTGTACATTTTCATCGAGTGCAGGTGAAGGTTAGGAACAGAGGATGAAGAGTGTAGTACTGTTCTGTGATCTATTTGTATAATGGATAGAATGCTGGAGGGCATGTGGTTCACCCATCTTTAAAATGTTTATATATATATATGTATCTATATCCAGCAGGGTCTATTTACCTTTCATTACAAATGACTAACACAAGTTCATCTCATTCTTTTCGCCCTACTCGTCTCTTCACATCACAGAAGAAGTAGAGCCGGAGGAGAGCGAGGAACCGTTTGTTGCTCTGCCGGGACTCGCTATCCCTCCTGATGTGGAACTGGTGAGTTTTAAATATCCCCACTGATGTTGATGCCCTACTCTGCGCTCATACACAGTTTATATATACACAACACATAAACATGATATGTGCGTACGTCTACATAGCGTGTATCCTGTGTGTGCCAGAATTTGATCCCCGTACTGTATCGTTGGAGCCCTACTGGACAGCAACAAATTGATAGAACGACATGTCTAACCTATTTGAATGTCATAAACATGTCGTGTTATGAACGCTGTCATATTAAAGACAACAATAATTGGAGTACAAGCTGAAAAGATTGGTCTGATCATTCGTATTAGAGTCGGGCTCAGGATGTCTAACAGTAAGTATGTATTCCTGTGACTTCTCTCTGAAATTGTAGGAAGGTAGACTGTAGAGGGTTTGCACCAGAAATAGTTTTGAGGTGGAAAGCCACCCTGACATACCTCATCATTGGATGACAGTCTAATCAATAGCCATTCAAGCATTAGCTATGTGAAATAGCACCTCTTCCTTTTTCCCCTTAAAATGAAAGGTTTATGTCATAATCATTTTCTTACGATGTCACCACATTTTTGCTACAAAACAGCACATATTTGCTGTATGAAGAAATATACATATATGCAATGCTTCATATTGAAATAAGATCCAATGAGAACAACAGGCAAGAAAAAATTGAGAGAAAAATTTGAAATGCATTGCTGCTGTTTTTGTTCTATCTGGTGTTTCTGTGTTCCCTCTGGACCCGGCCAGACCGCAACCAAAACCCTCAGTGACTCTCCTCAGCTGCTCTCTTTATGCATGAGAAGGCCGACGAGCTTTAACGGTTGCATGGGCTGTGTGCATAGTCAGTATATAGCATGCTGGGTATGAAACAGCCAAAACACCCCTGTGCATAAACACAGAGCGTATATGCATATCGTATAAGCGTCTACTCCCTAGATTGTGAGGGAATATCCTTCTCTCATTTCAGTGCAGTGTGTCTCTCATTATTTTTTAAGTACATTTGTGTGTTTTTTTCTCATTTTGTTATCTGATAGTTATAGCAAGGGACTGACTTGTGTCAAAGAATCTAACGGGAACGTTGTGATTCATTTCAGACCACTGACGAACAAGTATGCAGGCACACCGTTTATTGTTGATAGGATCTTCTGTTAAAATACAATTATTGTAATGGCATTTACCGACAGTGGTCACAAGAGATAATACATTATGTGATGTGCAACATATGTATCCGATTAGAGTGAGACGCTTTCCTTGTGTATAGCACGTCAACATAAAACAAGTATTACGCACGTCCCCTTGTTACTTAATGGCCACGTCCGTAAATGGGAGCGTGAGAGGCCCTCGTATGTCAGGAGGGCCTTGGCAGCGTAGAACACAATCATGGTCTTTTATCTTGATGAGATATGTGGCTTCTTTTCGGATACTTCTGCACTCTCTAGGTTATGACTGGTTAATCATTAAAGGCACACAAGGGATACACTAATGAATGAGTAATGGATCATTTCTTGTTTCACAGATTTTCACCCCATGTGTACTTTAATTATTAATGTCATCGAAATGAACAGAAGAATGCCGGGCATGAAAATGCCTCCGGGCCAAAAATGTGTCCTCAGTATGAAGAAGCCATCCATGAAGTGTGTACTGCATTCTGATGTAATGTGCAGCCGTCAGGTTCACTCACTTGACTCAAAGGGTTGGTAAACTGTAGCGGTAAAGCGAGTTGGCCAATAATAATGACAGCTTACAGCTCTGGGATTTAGCACAATTTCAATCTAGAAGTCATACCTTTTGATTGTGAACTTGTTTTGGGGGGGGTACATACATACAAACACATAGAAGTTTACCCATTTAGTTCACCATGCACTACATTCAGCAGCACACTCTACTGTTACATGTACATTTGCCAGCATCGCATTAAATAGGAATTGCTTGTACATCAGACACTTTTGCTGACACTACTGCACCGTTTGAGCCAAAGGGCTGCATGCGTTCATGCAAGTGTTGATTACATTACTGGGGTGAATATATGTTATATGTATGTTTTTGATATTTCATTTAACCAGCAGAGAGTAGCTTGAAGCAAAGTACACAGTTCACCCATTCTTTAGTGTCATCAATTGGTTTTCACTTTAAACCCTAAGGTTGCACACGGCACATATTGTCTGCTCAAATATTCAAAGTACCTTTACCTATTCTTCAATTTCCCAGCAAGCTAACTCACCACATGGCAAATTTCACACTGTATGCATTTGGTAAATTAAAGGATTTTGTCTACTTTTGATTTGGCAAAAGGTTTGTTTCTACCTGCATATGACATATGATAATTAGATGTTAAATACAGCATCAGCAAATAACCACTATAATTCCATTTTATTCCCGTTATTTCCCATTAATTCCCATGGAAAGTTTCCACCTTGTATATTCCAGGATTTTTTGCAACCCTATGTGTGATACAGATCCTTAATCTTCACTATTTTTGGCTTCTACGTGAAATATTTACAGCTTTTTGCACATAAAATGGTTATAGATTCAGATATGTTCAGTTTAAAGCATATGCAAATTTTTTGATTTTTTTTTTTTTTCTTTGTAGCCGGCAACCATCAAGACCCATAACATCATCGAGAGGACAGCCAACTTTGTGTCTCAGCAGGGGGCTCAGTTTGAGATCGTGCTGAAAGCAAAGCAGTCCGGTAACTCCCAGTTCGACTTTCTTCGTTTCGACCACTACCTGAACCCTTACTACAGACACATCCTGCGGGCCATGAAGGAAGGTCGATACAACCTCGTCTCCGCCAAGAAGCAAGAGCAGTCGCAGGGTGAGTTATAGAAAGCAGCCGATGTCGAGAATGATCGCGTACTGTAATTAATGCAGAAATATCGCATCTGTTGTACACGAGCAATCGAACAGAACAAGATAATGCAGTCAGATACATCAACGCTCTGCATTAATCATGATGTTAATCACTTGTTCGTACATATATTCATTACTTTGTTCTTTTTTTTTTGTTGTTGTTGATTTCTTGCTCTAGAATCCAACTCTGATGATTCAGATGATGATGGGGATGGCAGTTACCTCCATCCCAGCCTGTTTGCTCCTAAAAGGTGCTCTCGTCTGGAGGAGCTGGTGAAGGTAACTTAGCTTTACCTGTTGGACACAGTGGGCTACTTTTATATTGTGACGCTAGTCCTGTGAAAACCATGCATCTCCAAAACATTTGAATAAGTCAAAGAAAAACAGCCTCAAACTGAAAATATTTTTTAACAATGCAAAAGTATGCTGCAAATTCCGACTGGTAGGCGACCGCTGCCTGCCATGTGAATTACAGCTACATGCTGTTAGCACTGCCCGTGTCTGTTACTGCACTCTAACTATTTTCTTCATGCTGTCAGTGTTTTCATGTACATTGTCAGGAGAGTCATTAGTCTTTGACAGAGCAGTAGGAAGCATGTTGTTGTTTTTTTGAAAACATAAAGAGCTCCTTTTAATTGTAGGCAGTGTGACAGTTGCTTCCCATCAGTAGGGCTTTCCATTTCTTATCAGCCACTCCAATTTTCTACTAATGCTTTGTAGTTCATATTTTATGCGGTTAACTATTAAATTCTGCATGTAACCTTGAAATAGTACTCTGCATTTCATGGTTTCTGACTTCACAGCTTTGAATATTTGGTGTATGTATTATAATACTACTCTAAAATGGTTCTGCATCTCCTATAATGCACCAATGGCTTTAGTATTTATTTACAGAAAAAAAATAACATCATAGTGCGATGCCGATCTTTACCAAACCAGCTTTGTTCTTCTTCTTCTTCTGCAGCCTCTTAAAGTAATGGACCCAGACCATCCTCTGGCAGCACTTGTACGGAAAGCCCGACAGGAGAGGAACGGCACAGCAGCAGTGGCGACCAAAGCAGAAGAAGTGACAGACCCGGCTGTATCCAGCACACCAGCGCAGTACACCGCTGACCGTGAGTATGGACCGGAATGGCATTGCTAGGCAACAGCTGATGCCATTCACATACGCTGCAACAGGGAAATCAATAAAAAGAAGGAATTACATCATCGTGACTGTATTCCAATTTTGCATCGGTGCCAGTTCTATTATCAAAGTGAATAGGGTGGGCATGGCAAGTCCTACTATAAACCATCATAGCTGTGTTGTTTCATTGTTCCAGTACATAAAAGGTCTGCAGTGTCTTCTCCAGCACATCAAAAACAAGCCCGGGTCCTCAACAGTTTACATACAGAGCCAACAGCTCCCCTGAGGATGCCTTTGGTCCTCCACTCGCCCTCGCACATTTTGAAAAAGTTTTTCTGCTAAAGGCGTTCTGCCACTGCGGGTTGTTCAATAACGCTCGCCACTAATTAATGCTGACCATAATCTATTATTGATACAAAGGCACCTTTCATCAAAGTAATATTGAGCTGAGAGGTGAAAACCAGAGGACCTGACCTGCATCTCAACCAAAACACAACGAATTACAGATTTTAACTCATCTTCTTTGTGTTAGAAATGGTGTATATTACGTCAAAGGTATAGTCAGATCTCATCATAGTCCTACTCAAGAATTGCATTCCCACACGCTTTGACAAACGCCGAACATGTAAGTTAGACGGATATACAGGATTACACCTCAGAACAACAATTAACTCTTCCAACCTCTTTTACTAAGGTTAAAGATCCGACTTCACTATATCTCAGAGGCTGTAGCAGGCTCAAACGGGAAGGAGGCTAAGTAACGTGCTAGTTAGGCAACATTCTGGTGAGGGAAAACTGGCATGGCCAAATTCACAGTGCTCCCTTCACCTCTCACCTCAAGATAGCTGAATGAAAATGTGTTCTATGGGTACCCACGAGTCTCCTCTTTACAGACACGCCCACTTTATTACAATCACATTCATGCATGCTGTATAGATGTGTTATTTTTGCCTATTTTAAAAATGTTTTCTTTGGGTATGTCTGGAAAGCTTGTGGATCCTATGAGCCCGGTTGTGTTCATGTGGGATGATGTTAGTCCACATAGTAGCCATTTCATTGTAGTGAGACCATTTTTCCTAAAAGTCTTGGGGTCTTAATTGTGGGATTTTGGAATGAATGATGACTATTTTTTTAAATTCTCGACAGATCAAAAAAGGTTAAATCTTGCAGCAATTTAGTGCAACAAATGGTATCAACCCAAAAGTTGCTGCAACAACGTATGATACGTGTGCATGGGAGCATGGGAAAGGCCACCAAATACTTCCATCATACTGTTCTAAACCTTTACCATACGATCTACTCTCATTTAAATGCACACCTAAACAAAATGTAATGTTTATTGCAGATTCATGACCAGAACAATTTGACACACAGGGCTGAGCTGCAAGTTCATCTCCAGATTCCCAGCTTTCAGATGATGAAGACCACTTCTATGTTGCACACATTGCTGACCTGCAATCTCCCCCCGAAGAGAAAATGAAAATGAAATTTTGAAAATAAATGACATAAAACAATAGCACTTCCATTCGATTCAAAAGAATGGCTGGCTCGTGGACATGCGGTATGCAAGGTGGCCTATCCATGATGAGTCACACCCCCCCACACACTCCACATTAGTCATCTTATTCTTAAGTACTTATTTCATCTATGTCTTCATCCTCCCCTGAAATGGTTGCATAAATAAACCCATGGGCATTGGTCCCCGCTGACCCGTGAGTGTTAACTTGTCCATTACTGCAATTTATTCGTCTCTGAAACAGTTGTGGAGGATGTCCTTTGACCTGAACTTTGCTGCAGGAATGGGGCTGTTGATATTAGTAAATTGGTTGTGGATGACCGAGCTGCTTAATGCCATTGATGTGCATTGTTGCTCAAAATGGGGGTCTGCTAATTTGCCCATCCATGGTCCAATGAGAAAGCTTTCCCTTGTCCTCTTGCCACTTATGATGTTAATACAGGGCGTGGATAACGAGTTGCTCCATTATCTCTTCTGTACTGGATTGTCTCCCTTAATTTACTGTCTTTAATCACTCCCTCTGACCCTTACGATAAGAGCACCCCCGAAAGGACTTACTAACTTCAACAGTCAAGTCAATCTACGAAATGTATCTAGCGATCTGATCATCCATCTCCGTGGCCATCTCATCTATCTGACCAACCAATCACCTAAATTTCCTTTTTGACCTTCCACTTCTACATCTTAAGTCTTTATCTTAACTCTAGCGTATGTCAGGTTTTTTGTGCTGTGGTTTTCCATTTTCCTTACCAGAGACGATCGGACGTGTCATTAAACTACCTCAGTGACTAATGTGTTATTATCACACTGTCTCTGTTTTGACACTGACCATTTATTTTGTCCTTGTCCCTGTATTTCACCCCTCCTCTTCCCCATTCTCCTTTCAATAAAGAAACTTTGTAATAGAAACCCGCTGATAGGCGAGATGACCCTTTCGCACAAAGGTCACATCTTGATTTATATTCTGTTCCCACCGCTAATTTAAATGAATTACTGCGACAGACGTATTAAACGCAACATAAAAACAAAAACATAGCTTGACAGTGAACAGGACAAAACCAAAGCAAGCTTCAGCAAGAAAAAAAAGCCCATCACAGCTGTATAGTGAACACTTGCACACCACTTAATTCTTCAGGTTTGACCACAGCAACCACACGGATGTGCTGCAGCCCAGAGGCCAATTTGAAGCTGTTTACATTTTGCTTCCACTCTCAGAAATATACGGTGTCAAAACTAAGGTCAGGAAAATCTTAAAGCAAGCTCCTGCAATAGCACTCACAGTAATTAGCTCAGCTTGAATCATTTTTGTCACTTGGTTTCATGTTCAAGTTTTGCAGGTTGTGTGCCAGCGTGTACAAAAACACCACAGATAGCTCACTTTTATGTTTACAGTAAAGAGAGACAAACCATGGGTGTGAGGTCAACTTAATACCTCGAAAGGGAAACATTGCTGCGTCATAAAAGGCTTTATCTTTGCCATGAAATGTAATGTCAACACGGTGACAAATATGCCAAATGCTCGCTAAACAAGCCTGCTTTTGACAGTTTCTATTTCCAGTGGCAGATGACTTTTCCCTGACCTGTTGCTGTTCTTCGCCAAGGTTGACATGGACTCAAATAAATACAAAAAGTTTGCCATGGCCATGCTCTGGAATGAATTAGTTAATCATCCCTTAGCTGAGAGCACCATCATTTCACATTAAACAATTGTTTCTCCGTACTTCTAACAGTAGATAGCGGTTGGCATGCACCCAGTTTGGAGAAACACACCAGCGAGTCCTGTGTTCTGTGAGGTTTCAATGAAGTCTTGTGGCTTTTAAAAAAAAAAGCATAGATGTTCCCTCATACAACCCCCCCCTACAACCCAATCCCCCCCCCCCCCCTGCAACACAACCCCTCTCTACAGTACAACCCCATTTTGAAATAGAAACTGTCAAAAGCAGGCTTGTTTAGCGAGCATTTGGCAT